ACACACTCACTCACTCTCTCTCACACTCACTCACTCACTCACTCACTCACTCACTCTCACACACACTCACTCACTCACTCACTCACTCACACACACCCATATATGTATATATAATATCATTTTTTTTATGCTTCATGCGTAATATGAAATTTTAAGAAATTTCTAAATGCTGTAACAACATGGTAATAACATTCAAAAATTAGTATTTTTGTCATTCAGTCATTAATAAAAAGTTACTGATGAAATACAATATGCTTTTAATTGAAAAATATGAAGTTGTGAAATAACATTTTGTTACATAACAGTTCTTTAGGTCCAAACAGACCCATAATGCAAAAAAAAAAAAACAGAAAATAGAATGCATTATGAGGGTTAAGAAGTGAATCCAGTGTTTTTTCGGAGTGTGTATCTGTGTTTTGTGATCTGAAGCTTCTTCAGGAAAGTGTGTTTTATTTGGGATCTGAGCTCGTGCCGTCTGTGACTCTGCTTTGACATGGATTGGTTTTGTCAGTCTCTCTGTGGATGAAGTTTCCAGAGCGAGTGTTTGCTGTATAAATGTGTGTGTGTGTGGTTTTCACAGGCTGGTACACACCGCCCAAAGAGGACGGCTAGAGCACAGCATCCACACATGGACAGAGAATCTTCAGACGGACATCTTTCTGTCACTGCTTTTCTCCTCTCATCCCTCGTTTTAACCGGAGCCGCTCCTTCTGACACTCTTCTTTCCCTGCGAGTTAAAAAGGCTCGATTCGACTCAACTTTGCCCCTCTGACGTTCCTTCATCATCTCAGACGATGCCAATATCTGCGAAAGAGCCCATGCACAGCCTGATTTTCTGCTACGTTCCTCCATTTGTTTTGGTTGTGTATTTAAAAACAGCGTTTATGCCATGTCCAGTCAGACTTCACTGTTGTAAACGAACGCCAGGATCAAGTACAGATGCGTTTGGATCGGCGGGAGATTCCTTCCGTCCTCTGTTTCTTCATGACTGCTGATGTGAGAACGGGTTTGATGTGTTCATGCCATCGCAAAGCATTTCTCTCGGTGCTGTGAGCAGCTCCTCCCTCTCTGTCAGTGGCCAACAGGACTGTCTGGATTTGTGTTAGCCCCTGCAGTCTCTGGGTGAAGCTGAGTGAGCAATAATGCCTTACAAAGGAGGAAAAAGAGTTAGTGTCATCTCCAGTATTTCATTAGAGCTCGATCTGATGGCTGTGAACACAAAAAACAGCCCTTCTTTTGTGTTAATATCCTTCAGAAGCAGTTCGATCGCTCGACTCTGTTCCTCTTTTTCTGCATTGAATCAGTTTTTCTCTAAAAAGCACTGGGATTGATCAGCGGTGTTCTTCACTGTTTAATTTTTGTGAATTAAATTAATAAATGACACATCAAGCCATAGTTTGAGTCCGTGGATGTTCTTCCGGCTCCGAGTGTCTGGAATGTGGAGTGAAGGGTAACTGATTCCAGATCTGTTTCTCTTCTCGTTCGTTCGTTCAGACGGTGGAGTGTTTGATGAAGAGGGTGGGAGGCTTCAATGCATTATACACTGTCAGCATGCTTCGGTTTTATTGCATTTTTTCCCCATTGTAAGTGTAAGTTTGACCATGTACAGTACAATTTGTAAACTTGCATCAAGTTTATGAATAAAGAATTTTAAGAAATACATGAGTGTCATTAAGTGTTTAATCACAAGTGAGAACAGGTTTTACACAATAGAAAATTCTACTGCATTGCTTTCCTTGTTTTTTGGTTTTTTTTTTCATTAATGTTTAGTCATAATTGTGAGCAATGGGAACATTTGTGTTGCTCAAAGACGTAATAGAATGTTGAAAAGATTAGGTAAGATTTTCAGACATTTGGAAAGGTAAATGCTGAACCAAAAATAAATGCGTATTCCTAATGCTTAGATTGATTTTATGTAACAATACTTGAAATTCTACATTATATTATTATTATTTAATATTATGAATTTGAGTTTTCAAAAATATTTTCCGATTTATTTTAATTAAAAAGTTTTAATATTTGTATTTGTCTATTACATGTATATGCAGTTTTATTTTGAATTTATTATATTTATAAGTTGTTTTAGTAGTTCAACTTTTTTTTTTTTTTTTAAAAGAGAAAAATTACTGTGGCAACCAGATAAAATATTTTTTTAATATATTATTTCAACGATTTTTTTTTGTGTATTTAGTTTTAGTTAATGGTAACAACCAATGGTTTATTTGTGCATGTCTTGTTTTCTTGCTTTAAGGGGGCCAGAACCATCCTAGAGACTTATTGTTTGCACAATAAATGTGACAGATATGTGCTACTTATGTTGTGCTACTAATGTGCATCAGTTGTTTGTGTCCACCAGGTGGCGCCATCAGGTCATGAAAATGATATGGTTTTTGTTGCATGCATGATATTCCCTTACTTTTAACAGCTGAAAGCACACACAGCTGTTTACTCAATTACTTTAGTTATTTCTGACCTATACGTTCATTATTTGAGCCACAATGTGACAGAAGCACAAATTAAATCACACAACATCGATATTGAAATGAGTTACAGCATGCACTTTGGCCGCCCTCACTTTAATATTTAAGCTTCAAGAATACAGGCCCTGATCTCTAGAGAAACAATAAATTAATATACAATAAATGTACAATGCAGTAAGTGTCTACAGCAAAACTAGTCATGTTTATGATTACAATATTTACAATAAAATATGAAAGGTAAATCAGATGCGGCATAAATGTTAAAAAAGTATTTAATATGTCCTTGTTTAAAAATTTTAACCCTTCTGAAAAATTAGTGCACTTTAGCACACTTTTGAAAGCCATACTATACTTTGAATAATATATAATACACTTTATAATGCATAGACGGGCAATATTGCAATTCAGAGTCTTTGTATGTTATTTAGTTATTCTCAAATAAAAGTATATTATAGTTTAAATATTAAATGCAATTAGCTGAATTTTAGAGTATTTTGACTCACTTAAGTAGGACTTCAGTACATCTTTATTTTAAGGTGTCCTTGTTACAGTAATTATACATTTAAGCACTGAGTAATATTAATTAACTACATGTACTGACTACATTGTTATATTTAGTTATTCTCAATTAAATAAAAGTGTATTATAGTTTAAATATTAAATGCAATTAGCTGAATTTTAGAGTATTTTGACTCACTTAAGTAGGACTTCAGTACATCTTTATTTTAAGGTGTCCTTGTTACAGTAATTATACATTTAAGCACTGAGTAATATTAATTAACTACATGTACTGACTACATTGTTAGGGTTCAGCTTAGGGTTACTTGCATGTAATTTTGCATAATTTATTGTTGTTATAAGAGTAAGTGCATGTAACGTGTAACAAGGACACCTTAAAATAAAGTGCTACCACATCTTCTACTTTCACTTTATTTTATTGTCTTTGAAATATGGTTAAAGTTACTGCTGAATGCAACGGCAGGCATTACTCAACTAAAATATACTTTAATGACATTTCTGTTCTAAAACTTCTGTTATCTACTGTAATTACACATTTGCAATAAAATATATGAACTTTAAATGTAACATCAAATAACAAACTAGAGTTCAAATAATAATCAAGTGCATCAATAATAATGACGTGTTAGTCAACACATCAAAATAAGTGAACTTCTTTAAAACACGACAAAAGATTAAAACATGATTTAAAATGTAGTTTAAGTAACACTTTTAATTCAATAGCTTGACATCTATTACAAAGGTCACTTTTTAAAACTCTACTTAAGTGTGTAAAGAAACAGTCATGAAAGCGTCTCTCTTTAAGTCACTTAAGTATCCTTTTATTTCAGTAATATTATATCATCTACATGTACAGTATTTTAAATGCAATACAACACACACTTCTTTTTCACGAGGATGCACAGACAGCCAGAGGTCTTGGTCAAAGCGTCTTATTATTGGTTATTACCCAGCGTCCCCTGCAGGTTATGCTAATGAGCGGCCGCTCTAGTAAGTAGGCTCTCTATATGCAGAGGCTCCTGTAACGGATTTGCTCATTTATTACTGTTAATGTGTTAATGTTCACTGATGAGGAGAGGAAAGACATGATGACAGCGCTTAGAAGACACAGATACAGAGATATTTCTGCACATTAGCAGAGCTTTCAGACGCGCAGCAGATTTCATGACGGATTGTTGTCATTCTCGTTCAATATCTGCGGTCGGCTGCCTCTCATTCTTCATCCACACAC